GCTATGATAAGTGCTAGTTTTTAATACATTAAATAGGAATAATTCTTTGTCTAAATATATCTATTGATTCTTCCTCTTAGTGAACTCAGTTTCTCAAGGCCATTTCTGACCTTATCTGTAAATTGTCTTACTCATTTCCACATGTGGATATGTGTCCAGAAATTATAATTAAAGTTCAATTTTCTTATTAATACTGATATTTTTCAAATGTTGTTTTCCCTGGTTAAATAACCAAGCCCCATCCCAACTGTAGACTTGTAGCTTTGTTTTCTGTTTTGTGATTAAAAGTAACTTGACTTGAATGGTGTTAGTTTTGGGACTATCCCTTCAAAAGTGAGATTAGAATAATGCTGCACTTTGAACATTTTCATTTTTGTTCTCTGCCAAAATACAGCTCCATTGTGCTTGGCTTACAGAAAATCACTTTAAGAACATCAGTTTCAGGTTTTAAAAATTCCTGCTTGAAAAGCTGTATTTTTATTTGGGCCTTCCTGGCATTTTTAGGGGGAAAAAAACTCTGAGATTGTGTGCTCTCTGTACTTTCATTATACGCAGTGGCTAGGAAAACTATTTGTTATGGGGATAGAAAAGTATGTCTTACATTCTTGAAGGTTATGAGGTTATTTTGGTCTAAACACTGATTTCTCAGTTGTGTGGCTTTATAAACAACTACTGTATGGAAAAATTATTATTCACATATACTTATTTTGGGGCTCTTATTCCTTTGTATGGAAAGTAGAGTCACAGTACAGAAGTTGGTCATCCCTGTACCATGCTTCTCCCTCCCTCCCTTTCTTCACACAACCTGTGATTAACCTGAAATCATAACCATAAGATAAAGAAATCACCATTAGCATAGATGGTTTGAAAAGGGACAGCCTATCAGAATATAGGGAGAATGCTGGATTAATTGAATTGTTGTAAGATCTGAAAAAGTGCTCCATTTTTCATTGTTCTTTTTTTCCCATAGGGTAATTCCTGTAGGTATTCCTAGCCCACTCCCCCCAACCACTTAATCTAAAAGTATAAAGTGGATCTCCTTTAGCAATGTAGAGTAAGCTGATTTATTTGAAGCAAATATAGAGGGCAGGTAGATTGATAGCATAGTGTGCCTCTGAAAAATAGATAGTATTATAAGAACAGGCAAGCCAAGTACAGTAAATAATAGAGAAGATGTTAGTGAGTTAGTAACTAGAGACTTTAATACAACTACAGAAGGCTATTTCTTAGGAGTTTTTAGTGTCCTGTCACAGTAATGATGAAAGAATGTTCTTTAGTCCTTTAAGCCAAGTTAAGCTAATTTGTTTAATATGTTGTCTGCCAATACATGTTAAATTTTAAAAGCAAGTAAGGGAAATAATGATGTTCAAAGGACTGAAGTGTCCTGTATAAATCTATTTGCTCAGTAAACCTTGACAGTCATATTTTAGGATTTCACTGGGAGATAATTTCAATTCTAGAACTGCTGACAATACTACTTATTTATTTATTTATTTATTTATTTATTTATTCAATCAATCAATCAATCAATCAATCAAATTTATATGCCCTCCATCTCACTATATAAGTGACTCTAGGTGGCTTACAAGTAAAAAAGCGATAAAAAAAACAATAAAAATCTTAACAAAAATATACAATGTTAAAAGACAGAGAGAGTGTCCTCAAGCCACCAACAACCCCCGTGCTGCAAACCCCTATTGGTACTTCTTTATCTAGACTTTATCTAAATTATTGCAACTTTCTGAAATAATTTCAGACATTCCAAGTTTAATATGTAGAATGGAGAAGACCAAGAAATTCTAATAACAGACTATTTGTAAGAGGTTTTATTGACTATAAAATCAAAAGGAATCCAGGGGAAAAAATGGTTCAGGCATCAGAAAATTAAGATGTTAGGTTTGCTATCTTTCCTAATATGGATACTAAAATAAGAACTAATACTTTAAAAAAGATTAACAACAAAGCAAAATAATATACAGTTTTAATACTATATAAATGATAAAATAAGTAGGTATTACCTAACTTTTTGCAACATTTTCTTCAACTAAAACTTCTGTTAGTTTCTATTTTGCAAGCCATATAAAATATGCTAAAAAGGGGGGAAAGGAAAGCCTAGATATTGTGAAGTTTAAAAAAAATTCTGGCAAATTCAAAATTTGCATAAAATGTACAAAAAACACACTAAGTATACTTATTCAGATCTTTATTCAATTTTAATATTAGAACTGCTCAATATATACTATATTTTCTAGGTAAGTTTTCACTGTCATTTTTCTCATTATGCACAGGAATGCTTTCAATTTATACTGCCAGCCCTACCTCATGCCATTGACCTTTTACGGGATGCCATTGTAAAAGTAAAAGAGGTTCATGATGAACTTGAAGATCTACCTTCACCACCACCACCTCTTTCTCCTCCTCCAACCATCAGCCCTCACAAGCAGACAGAAGACAAAGGTGTACAGTGTGAGGAAGAGGAGGAAGAGAAAAAAGATAGTGGAGTTGCTTCAACAGAGGATAGTTCCTCCTCGCATATAACTGCTGCAGCCATTGCAGCAAAGGTGAGTTGAGGTTCTATAAAAAGGAGCACATAGGTTTCTATCTCAGGTATTTTCTGTGTATAGGTAGGGATCAATCAAGAGTGATGCTGATTATTTTTTTCATTCTGTAGCTACAACAATAAAATTTCTAGATGGTTAATCACATTTTTTTCTATATATATCATGCTCCCTTCACTTTTTTACATGAATTATAAAGATATCTAATTGTGCATCTGTCAAAAGGGGAAGGAACTTCTGCTTGAGTAAGAAAAGATTCCCAATTGCTGTTAGTTTTCTTTTTTTTTCCAGTTGAAAAGTTCATGTCACACTGAATACTGTTCCTGTGTTCTCCATAGTCACACATGCGGCATTTTAGTAGGTTCAGAGGATTGCAGGAAAGGGGAAAGAGGGGAGAATGCACTGGCTCCAGGTACATCCGAGGGTGCTATAAATGATATCATTGCCTTAAGTTCAAACACCAATTATGTGGGAGCAGTTCTTTTTAGTGGCAATTCATTTATCATCATTTTCTGGTGATAGTGCAGTAGAAACCTTGTAGAGCACCAAAACCTCAAATTAATTATCTATTTACTGAAAGACTGTTGCTGCTTTTGCAAATTTTTCAATAAGTTCTGAGTATACCACTCAAACTTCATAATGGCAAGCTTCAATTAAAAAAAAAACTAAATCAGCTTTATTAGTATATCTGTCTTTTTCATTACCAAAGTACACATATTTTTGTCTGTTATGAATCTAAATAAAGTACAGTATATTTTGACCCAAGATTTGAGAAATTTGAGACATAGCAAATTCCTGCTGAATTATGGGCAATTTCTGGAACAGGAAACCAGGAGTGTAATCCTTTGCATATATTTTTGAAAATCTATCCCATCTAAGTTCAATGGACTTCCAGTAAAGATATTCAGGATCGTGGAATAGTTGTTTGGGCCATGATGTCTAAATAGCCTGAAATCTGTTACATCTCACTTAACGAAGTGAATGCTGAAAGCCTTATATCCTCTTCAAGTTTAAAACATTTAGTCAAATGTTGTATATTAACATAATGAAACCAATCAATTGCCAACAGTAGAAGCTGAATATTTATTAATAGTTCATAATAGTATTTAAGATCATGCTCTCCTCAGTCTAGTTGCAGTGTTCTAAACAGCTCTTGCCAATACACATTCAGACAAGGAAAATACAGGTATGTTTGTTTTTAGGGTAGCACACATAGCTCCTATTAAAATGCCACAGGTAAGTGATTGAAAAATTGCAGCTTACTCCTGGGCATTGCAAAGGAGTCTGAAAATTTCTTGTGAAGCTGTATTAGTTTCAATTTTTCAGTTTATTTTTATGTTTAATAATTTTCCCTTAAGAGCTAAAAATATTATGCTGGTGGAGGGGGAAGTATTCCTACGTTTATTCCACAACAATCTAGTAAAGTAGGTTGGGCTAAGAAAATGACTGGCCCATAGCTCAAAGTCACCCAGTGAGCTCTTTGCTTGAATGTGGATTTGACTGTAGGTCTCTCTAGCTGAGGCTTTTTACTCAATGATATGCCACAAAGTCAGCATTCATCTTTACTCCGTAACAGGAAAAAAGCCAATTAGAACCAGGAGGTACACTTGTATACTTTCTTTCCTCAATATCTAAGGTGAATTGGATGACAGAATGAGAATCTAATTAAAAGCAGAAAATACCTGAGAGCTAAACTGTGCTCATTTAAATACCTTGCATTTAGGTATGCCACCTGTTTTCACCCTCATCCCCTCTATGCCATTTTGCTTGTTTAGCTTCATATTTTCGTGCCATTGTATTCATGGTTGTTATGTATTGTACATTAGAAGCATCCATCCTATACCAGTTCTGCTGTTATCATGGCAAAAGGTGAACATCCCATTCCTGGTCTCATCTGTTATTCCTATCACGCACCAGACAGTGCAGGAGAACCGGTAAGACACACCTACCAGAATGTTTCGCATTGATATCTGCAGTCAGACTGCTTGCCTTCTCATTGTATGTTACAAGGAGCTACAGCTACTTACTTTATTGTCAATGACATACTGTGTTGCTCTCTGAGCAAACAAGTTCTAAATTTCTGTTCTGTAGATTTTTATCAAACATACAGTGTTTAACATTTATTTTAGATGTGAAGTATTCATTTTAAAATCTGTTGCTCTCTGATTGAACACTTGTTTTGGTTTAGATTCATTCACCTCTGGAGACTGCTCAGAAGTTTTTGACATCACATTTCTGTTACCATAACACTAAAGTATTCTTCTTTGTTTCAAAGGAGCTTTGGTGCCTGCATTTTCAAATCACTTGGCTTTGGATAATATGCAGATATTTCTGGTAGATGCTTTTACTGATTATCCAATGCTGATATTTTTTTAACCACTTGCTCATCATATTCCAGTACTCTTTTTTTTTTTTTTTTACTTTGTTTCACTCACAAAATGAAAACTTCAGAGATAATACCTAAAATGCCTTGCACATGTTTGTCATTGCCCCCTTCTAAATTGGTCAGGTATCAAATCCTCTGTTGCATTCTAATTAGAATCTGAATGATAACCTCTTTCTAATTCTGAAAAACAGTATTTGCCAGTGTTAGAAAGCTGAAGTTACGAGCATCAGTAAAAGATCCATAACTAAATAAAACTACCATGAGTAAGCTTGCCTCTTTAACTTTTTTCCTGTAAGCAGCTAGAATATTCATATCTATACTGCTGTTGTTCTAGATAGACAGGCTCTAGTTGGAGAGGAGCCAGGCTCGGGGGGAGCAGGGCAGTGCTCTTTCTTTTGACCTTCCCTTTTTTACAATTCAGAGAGAAGACAGACTCTCTCTCCCTGTTCCAGTTCCTTGTAAAAAATAGGTGGATGAAGGAGAGAAATCGGGTGGGAAGGAGTCTCTCCATTTCCTTGTAGTAGCCCTAACTTTATTGCAGGAATGGGAATTGAAACACAATTGCTCCACAAGGAATACACAGTAGGACTTTCATAACCACAAGAATAAAGTTAGCTGGAATAATTCCCATTATAACAGCAAATGGAATTTTTTTCTCCTTTATATACATGCTGATTCAACAAACAAACCAAGTATAGGCCTACTTTATCTGTTTTTTTTTCCTTGTGAAATATAAAGCTAAAATAATTACCTTCATCTTTTTAAAGCTTATTCCACTCTTATTGTTATAGCTCATCAGTTCATCACTATCCTAAAAAATCTGTGAATGTGGCCATGTGTAATGAATTAATTTTGTTAGTTAAGAAATTGTGAACTGCAAGCAGCAAAAAAAGCCCCCCACACATGGGATAATAAACTGTTTTCCTCTTCCTTTAGTCTATGTCTCATCTCCCCTTCTCCTCTTCCTTATTATCTTGTTTTCATCTCCTGTTCTTTGAATCCTTCTCCCGCTCCCTTCCATTTACAAATGTCTCAAGATCTCTCCTCCCTATTTACCTCAGCATGCAATTTTCGTTGATTATTATCCCATCCTTTGCTCATTACTTCTTCCTGCTTGTCCCCTTATCTTCATCCCCCTTCCCCATGCATCCCTGCATCCATTGAACTTTGGCATGGCAGAAGGAAACATCCAGATTGAACACCGAAGGGCTGTGTTTCTTTCAAATACAAAGTGCACTAAGGCTATTGCCTTTTCAGTCCTTGCTCAGGTTTGATTGGAAAGGTAAAAGGAAGTTTTTCCCTCATAACGTACCTATGATTATTTAGAGTAAGGATATTTGTGTATGCTTATTTAATCTCATTCCAAGGTTTTATGCTTAACTGAGGGGAAGCAAGAGGAGAGCTTGCTTCCCTTTAGCCATAAAAAAGCATTCAATTTTTCTCTCTAGCCCCTGTATTTTATAACTTCAGATACTGAAATATACAGGTATTAGAAAAGAAATACCATACTGATACAGAATCGCTATTAAGAATGCACTAATGATTGTAGAGCTGTATGTTTATTTATTTAATCAGAATGTCTTTTATGTAATCAATACATTCCTATTAATCTTCCCCGAAATACTAATACAGAAAAAAGAAAGACTATAATACAATTGCACTTGAGCAAAATTCAATTAGGACTATTTTCTTACTTGTAAACGATTTCTTTTAAAAGTGATTTCTAAAAGAAATATAAAACTGAATTATGCTTTATTGTATATGCTTGATGGAGTTATCTTTTCTCTGTATGTGTAATTTCTCTCTATATTCCATCAAAATGGCACAGCACTTTCAGAATTA